CCATAGCCAGACTGATAAACAAACAGACTGGAAGTTAACTTCGGGCCAGGTGCGTGCGCCCGATGAAACGTCTATATAAAGCTTGAAGCATCAGAATCGGCATCGGTATCGGCCGATCACCATGACAAGAAATCGGTATCAGTATCGGCTGCAAAAATTCTGATCGGAGCATCCCTAATATATATATATATTCCTGTTGACATCAGTGTTATCGGCCGATCACCATGACAAGAAATCGATACTCAGTATCGGCTGCAAAAATCCTGATCAGAGCATTCCTATAAAGGTACACATGACAATTTATGACATTAACTTTGTTATTTTTGCTCAAATCTTACTTTAAAACACCAAAAAGTATTTCCAATAACTTCTGATTGCAAGTCAGAAATATATTTTGTAGAGTCTGGACCAATCAGACACACAATTTTTTTAGTTATATTTAACAAATACTCTGTAACACCCCTCAATCAACAAACCAACTATGAGGGTCTATGGACCCTTCCCCCGAAATGCATCTAACACCTCAGAAAGGCAGAACAGACCTCTGGTTCCATGGCAACCAATGCTGATATCACTGGTTTTATTGCCCAAAGGAATGCGGGCAGAGCAACTCACACTCATTTTCCTCATAGGAAAGACACATAATGCCCAGAGAAATGGACTGTTCTCTAATTAATTCATAGACAAACCTTTCTTTAAATGAACACACATTTCCTCAGGTCCTTTTTGTTTATTATTACTGTTCTTGTATATTGTCTTTTGTATTGTATACTGTTTTATGCATGCTTATGATAGAACCACTCGTTCATGTAATCTTACCTATACCATGGCCACGAAAATATCCTTTCTTAGAGTTGATATGAAATTACACTAAATGTTCGCTGGACGAACAGATTAGTTGATGGCAATTTAATTCTGCTACAGTTACTACTGGCAGCTCATATAAATAATTGTAATTAATCATAATTAATTGTAATTATTTATATACATTTCCCTTTTGAGCTAATTTGCTACATTTGTATCTTTTTGTATCAAGCTTAGCATTTCTCATATAAACATCCTTTTTCATATAAAAATGCATCCAAAAAAAAAAACCCCACACATATACAAACCCATGATCATATATTTTTTAGCTTCATGTTTTAGCTGTACAGTATGTACAATATGTTTCTTTATGTTAGTTATGTACAAACACGGAATGCAGAAGTTTACAGTATTTCATCATAGAAGGGTATTATGACCACGTAATGTGACAGATCAGTGAATCATCTGTCTGGGAGTCATTTGACCCGGAACAGAAACACATTTATCAGATCACATAATTTAGTGGAAAATGAATAGAAATAACAATTCTTTCAAAAGAAGTATGAAGTAAACATGGGAATCCATTAATATTTTTCCATGTGCATTTGTTTTATTAAAATTAGCAAAAATAAAACAGCACATGTGCTTGTACATTTATGCGCTTGTATGTCCTATCAGTAGGTTTGGTTTGGCATGTTTGATGTGTAGTCATTACAGTAATTAAAAAAAATAAAAAATAAAAATACAGTCACTAACCATAATCATAAGCAGTGTTTAAATATTGAATAGTCTTTAATACTTCTAATGATATATGGTTTGTCTAAATTAAATACAATTTATATTAATATTATGTGATTGGTTTACAAGTATATGTGATGAGAATTTCGGAGCAGGTTGGTGAGGTGGCTTCTCATGTCCGTGGCATAATGTTTGTCAATAACCAAGCATTTTTTTGGGTTCACTTAGACCTTCAAGTGAATGGGAATGAAAATTCTGTCATTTGCTCACCATCAAGTTGTTCCAATCCTGTATAAGTTTCCTAATATTTTGAAGCATGTTGGTAACCAATAGCTGGTAGTCATTGACTTCCATAGTATGGAGGAAAAACTTCTCAGTCTCATCTTCCCTGATGGAGGGAACAGAAACATTGTGTCAGTTCCAACACTAGGGGTCACTCTTGGGAGCCCAAACACCTCTGAAGTATTCAGGGTTCACCACTCAAGGGAAACTAAAAAACAGGACCTGATCAGCACACATTATCACCTCAGAGAGGGGAAAGGCACTGAATGCAAGCTGTACACCCTACCGGTTATCTGGGTTCATCTGTTGGTACTCAGAACTCTTGATGAGACTGGTTCCCTGCACAGATTATATAATCTGGTGATGGTATTAGATGTAGCCCAGCCTGCAGCTCTACAGTATGTACAGTATGCTAACAAGACACCATTTGCTAAGGCCGAACAGGCAGCAATGCCCCTGGTCGAGTGCACCCTCACACTTATGGGATGTGGTAAAGCTCGACTTGATATGCCAGGAGAATTGCATACACAATTCTGTGGGATATTCTCTGTTTGGAGACAGCCTTCTCCTTCTGCTGTCCTCAAAAGCAGACAAAGAGCTGTTCAGATTACCTGAAACTCTGTGTGGGAACCAGATATATCTTCATGGAAAGGGCACTGTAAAGGCTCAAACGGATCTCCCTGTAGTAGGGTTGGGTACCGTTCACATTTTAACTGGTACGGTACCGGTACCTGAATTTCGGTGCCCGGTACCCAACGGTACCTTTTTTCGGTATACCTTTACTCTCTGTGTAATTACAAATTATTTTAAATCAAATGAAAATTAAACCCTTTTATTTTTTGCCAAGCAAACTGAGGTTTACTGTTGAAATTAATACATGGAAGAAAAATATGTGAATATTCCTTTAAAACATTTTTTAATAGGCTAATAATTGTATTTTTTCTAAAATTAAGTGATTCATCTGGTTGTAATATTTATTTTTATCATTTAATTGTTTTATTTAAATTTGATAGAAAAT